AGTCTGTTTCATGCTTAGACACAATCTTTCGCCACCGGTTGTTGACGTCAATGTCCACTTTTATATATATATATATATATATATATATATTAATGAATATACATAATATCCAACAATCTTGCAATCTTCAGGTGCGGAGCATATTTTTTATCATACCTATATATATATATATATATATATATATCCCTCATTGCGATATCATCTTTATCCTATTCTCCGTAATGTTATTATTTCACTTTCATCCAAATTTTCGATCTTTCCGTTCTTGATCTCTCTTTCCCAACACATTTTTTACAAGTTCATCAACTAATCTTGACCTTTTTCCCGCCCTTTGTACCTATTTCATGTCAATTCAGTTGGCGTCTCATAACCAGCTTCTTCTGGCAGATGGAACTCGTCAACCTAGCAAGGCTATCCATCTTGGGGAAGAAAAACCCTGGTTTTAAACCACTGCTTCCTTGTATGTAACGAAACACGAAAAAAGCTATGGAAGTAAATCCTGACAGAAAACCCAGAGTGGAGCCCTGAAGGCATTTAACTGTGAATACTGACAACCTTCCGGCAACTCCTGTAACCAAGCCGACACCAAATATAATGCCCTGTATCCCTTTTGATCTTGTTGGTAGAGCCGAAAGAGTGGAGAGCATGTAGTCTCGGCACGGCCTCCATATGCCATCGCTAAGTCCTGAACCCTGGAAAAGACATTCCAGTTTTCCCACCATTTGTACCTATCTAATGTCATAAATACTGCCAACAGACACACCCAGTCGACAGCAGCAAAAGTTTCGAATCTTTTAAAAGAAAACGCCATGCCTAACGTCTGCTAAGGAGAAAGAAATTTTCATCATTCATCATTGCAGTTGGGTAATTGTTACCGCCCACATAGATGACAAAAGATCTGGAACTGACAGCGGGAAAAAAGGAAACAAAATAGACAGACCAATGTGTAGACGGATAAATAAACCCTATAATCTATAGAGCTAGAAGAAGAAAAAAAGAATTGACAGATAAAGATTCTTATTGATTGATAGACAAGAGAGAAAACTACAGAGACGGGAAACGCGACAGATTTATCTAAACGCAGGTAAACACTAAACGGAGTGGAAATGGCACTGAGGAAACTATTTAAAAAAAAAAAAAAACTTTATCTGTCTAAGGAATCTAAATGAAAGATTATATAAACGCAAAAGGGACATTTTACAAAGCAATACACCAAATACGTTGGTTGCCCACCGTAACGAGACTGACTATAATTTTGACATAAAAAATGTTACTCTGATCAAAGGAGTAAACAATTCACTGCGACGTAAATGTCTAGAGAGTGCCTTGATCACAAGGTCAACTACAGTAAATTTGCGCCGTGGCTCTTACAACATTTCCCCATTCAGGTAGGATTTATTAAACAAATACGTCAAGAGATTCATCGAATGTTTATATACATGTGTCAATCTATATCTATAATTCTCAAAATGTGTGTGTGTGTATTTATTATTTCATCTGATTTCGATGAATTTTTTTTGTTTGATAGATAATTCTTCAGTGCCGGTTTTGAGCTCAAAATGGCTGGAAAAATTACAACCTTGAAGGTGAAAAATAGAAAAAACTGATTTTTTACACTTGGCGCAAAAATCCAAGGAAAAATTGAACTTCTGTAAAAACAGCGTACAATCAATTTAGAGAGTTGGAATCTAACGCAGAAGATTGTTAGAATTATAAAAAAAAAATATATTGTAAATTTAAAATTATCGTATATTATTATTATTACGGTGCAAGGCAGAATTAAGAACGCAAAAAACGGCCCTTTTCATGGCCAATCCCCATTTGAAGATTTGCCTCAGTTGCACCCAAATGTTTTTTACTAATATTGATTTTCGGGTGGGCTGACTTTAAACTTAAACTGTTCCAACTGAACGGTAAAAATTCCCAGTAATGGAACACCCGGCCGAAATCGGGTTACACTGCGAGTAAATCATAAGACGGAAAACTGTAGTAACTTCTGAAGACTACAAAATTCTCCGTTTTGTCATCTATTTATTGTACTTGGTCAAACATTCTGGAGTGAAAAATAAAGAGAGGCCTTTAATCAGGGTAGGATTTAGGTGAAGAGATGCCTTTAATCAGGGTAGAATTTAGGTAAAGAGAAGCCTTTAATCAGGGTAGAATTTAGGTAAAGAGAAGCCTTTAATCAGGGTCGGATTTAGATGAAGAGAGGCCTTTAATCAGGGTAGAATTTAGGTGAAGAGAAGCCTTTAATCAGGGTAGAATTTAGGTAAAGAGAAGCCTTTAATCAGGGTATGATTTAGGTGAAGAGAGGCCTTTAATCAGGGTCGGATTTAGGTGAGGAGAGGCCTTTAATCAGGGTAGGATTTAGGTGAAGAGAGGCCTTTAATCAGGGTAGAATTTAGGTAAAGAGAAGCCTTTAATCAGGGTATGATTTAAGTGAAGAGAGGCCTTTAATCAGGGTCGGATTTAGGTGAGGAGAGGCCTTTAATCAGGGTAGGATTTAGGTGAGGAGAGGCCTTTAATCAGGGTAGGATTTAGGTGAGGAGAGGCTTTTAATCAGGGTCGGATTTAGGTGAAGAGGGCCTTTAATCAGGGTCGGATTTAGGTGAAAGAGGCCTTTAATCAGGGGTAAAGAGAAGCCTTTAATTAATCTTTAATCAGGGTCGGATTTAGGTGAGGAGAGGCCTTTAATCAGGGTAGGATTTAGGTGAGGAGAGGCTTTTAATCAGGGTCGGATTTAGGTGAAGAGAGGCCTTTGGTTATTCCCATTGTGAGGCCGCCGCTAAATCCCGCTTTGCCACGAGTAGAGGAAAATGGAAGAGTGTTAAATTAAACAATTTGAGTAAAGCTGATGATGATGATGGGTGCTTAAAATTACTCAAGGGTTGTTTAGAGTCTACAATGCAATGTAAGAAAGGCCTATGACAGTGTCAAAAATATTATTCACGTTGGCTGCAGGGCCCCTAGATTAGACCTGCTAAGCTTATAGGTAAATACGATACTGACTTTATTTAACCAAAATAATTCCTTTGCTTTTGTTTGCCAATCACGAAAACGCTTTTAAATAACGTGGAATATGCCATTCTACTCCATAGTGGTAGAGGTGAAAATGTATATCACCATACTCACATTGTTCGAAATCCTTGATTTGTCATGAGCTGCAATCGTAACCCTGACAAATCCTAACCCCTAAACTTGAACTCCAACGCTAACAATAACCCAACACATAACCTAACGATAATCCTAATTACAACCGTCACAACCCTAACCTAAACCTCACAACTCTCTGCACCTTACCGTAACTCTGCCATGCCCTAACCCATGCCCTGACTTCTAATCCTTAACCGAGAAATCCTCAAACACTAATTAGCACAACCGTAACCTTCCCCTTGATGTTTCCTAACCATGCCTAGAATACGACAAACCTAATTCCTACCTCTACTCTCAAACCGGAACCAGAAGAAACCACACTACTTCATTATCGTTATCCCAACCCCCTAAGAATTTTATCACAAGGCCAGGCACATGACCTAATTCCAACACGAATTCACTAATTTTCTATTCTGAAAGTAGGTCACGCGTAAAAGCGGAGGAAAGTGCCGACCCTTGGTTAACACTGATGCTTCAGGACGTCCGCTTGGCGGGTAACTACTGTTCAGCAATGGATTTGCTAAAAAAGCAAATCCAGAGCTGAACAGTCCCCACCCCCAAACATAGCCATTTCTAGCAATCTGTGCTTTTAGCATTCTGTCCATTACAACGGATACTAGCAGTAGTCGTACGCTTACTGTCAATATATATATATATAATAGTATATATATAAAGTTGTAGCCTATGTCTGTCTGTTTTTTGTTATCGAACTCCTCCTAGGGTTTTGGAGATAGACCCTCATAACCATATATAATCCCAGGGTACTTTGATACTTCATTTTGATCAAAGAGGGTCCCTGGGGAGCACTCCCCACCCATTGATTTTTTTCCCTTTGATTTAAATTAAATTTGAACACGGTAATTACTCCTAGATAAGTATATCCTTGGATAAGTATATTTCATTTTGATCAAAGGGGTCAACTGTCATATCTCTGGGGAAACGTTAGAGAGAGAAGGCGCAATAAAGTTAGAGGTTAGCATCTGCTATGCCAATGAAAAGCAAAAAATATTTCTCTAAGAGAGCTGGTTAGTTTTAGGAGGCGTTGAAATTAACAAGTCATTTCTTGCCACAATTAATAAAAATTTGAATGTTATTTTGGAGATCAACTACCAATTTTGACTTTATCGAACAAGAGTAAATAGATGTGTCATCAGCATAGATACCAAGTTTAGAAATATGGTTTTGATTTTATGTTTATAGGGGGGAATTTTTTTTTTAAATGGACGGAAATAGACAGAATATATCGCCGCTCGTTATACATGTATATTTTGGAATAAAAGTACACATTGAAAATTTAATTTTACTGAATAACATACCAAATTACTATACATTGTTCGGACTGTTGTCCACATTATTATTGCCATATTCACGACGTTTCAGCCGTTGTACGTTCCAGCCATCTTCAGGTGATATTTGTTGAAATTTTGAACCACGCTGGTTCGGAGATTAAAATACTTATTAAAAATTGTAAAGCTATTGTTAGATATCCTTTATTTAAAAAAAAAATACTCAAAAATAAATCGTTCGTCTTGCTAACTCCAGGATCGGCACCAGACGACAAGCATGCCATTCCATACATACTATCACCGTGACAAAAAGAAATACGTAAAACATACAACATTCATTATTATATATCAGTTCACGTACAGAAAATGAAGGAAAGATTTCAATAGTTCTCCAATAAAATATACTAATAAAATATTAAACATTTTTCGTGTATTTTCCATGTTTATATTGCATATTTCTTTAAATAAATAGCATTCTATTCACCATTGTAAAATGATTACCATGTGGATCGATCATAGTTTCAGTGGATCCTGGCCTCCGAGGATTTACTGCGACATCACATTGAAACACCGGTTCCAGTACTATCACTGAAGTTAAGAAACGTAGAGCCTGGCCAGTATCTAGATGAGTGACCGCTTGGGAATACCAGGTACTGTAAGTCTGGATGTGTGGGTGGTGGAACGGATAATGGCTTGGAATTGTTAATCAGAGAGCCGACTACAATTGTAGTCAGGTTCGTTATATTCGCTTACGTTCAAATACCCTTGGGAACGGTATGAATTCACCGCTTATGCCCTCAACTATGGGTTAATTAGTAAGACGTGTATCACTAAAATCATTATTATCTCCCTCTAAAATATTACAGTCTAAAAACTATTTTATGATTTTAGGTAACCTGCAAAGGGTTGATAAGCCGTTAAAAATCAATCAATCTTACCTCCGAAGCCGAGAGATCATGTTAAGGCTTTCCTATTATATCTTTCACGCATAAGTATGTGTGCTTTATATAATCTTATTATTATTTTCTCCTAATATAACTTGGACGAGTTAATGTTTAACCTTGAAGCACACACAAATTACCTCCCCTGAAAGCTGATTATAGAAGCGCCCTTTTCAGATGACTCTACAATCATGGCGCACTATCTACAAACAATGGTGATCAGACTCTTTGCTTCCTCTAAACTGTTCAGCATGACAATCAGCTTTCGTAAGACAAACGTCCTCCAGCACCCAGCCGCATTACTATCTATACATTAAGGTATTTTTGTTCTTGTGTTTTCTTTTCTTTTTTTCTTTCTTGTCTTTTGTTTGCGTGTGTGTTTTCTGCTACTAATTTGAATCTCTCTTGCAGCAAAACTTCTTTTCTGTTAAAAGAATGAAATACCGGTTCACATATCTTTACGTATATTTGTGTGTGCGCTTTGTTTATTGTATTATTTGTTTCTTGGCTGAATTCAGTTCCATTGGTCAGAAGTAAAAGAAGTCACGTTTTTTCTTAAAACAAAAACGGAAAGTAATTGTAGCTCTTGGCATGATAAATGGAAACTTTTGTATTTGCGCTCAGAAGTAGACTATCTTAGCTAGAGAGAACCAGATTAAGGTATTTATTTTTATCTTTTTGTGGTCTTCTGTTACTAATTTGAAGCTTTCTTCTCTCTTAGACAGAAGCGATTCTGACTTTAACAAAGTTAAAACTTTAATATAACATATATTTAGTTTGATGTCTGCTCCTCCAGTCGTACTTATATGGTCATACATAATCTCCCGATAGGTATTTTCTTACTGCTCTAGTGTTGTGTCTAACTCTATAGGAAATGTCAGTTCATTCCCAAGCAGCCTTTGTGACCCCACCGTCTCCAAATGTATCCTTTAGTTTTCCCAAACGAGCGAGCCTGTTTCAGTGTCTGGGCCGCCCACTCAGACTCAATGAAAAGTTCTACCGCTTTGATTCTTCCGCAACAACCTCATTTAGTAACCGTCTACCTTGAGTGGCTCTTAGGTCTTGTATTGGGTGAAAGATAGTAAAATAGGGGTGGCGAATTTAATCTCCAGCAATGGTACCCTTGATAATGAAATTAAGTCAAGGTTCCAAAAAGCAGGCCAAGCACCCGGAGTTAAAGTTCTACAGCATAAATAAAAAAAATCGAATCACCCCCCACCACGAAACAGAAAATCTAGAATGTTGTTATGCTCTCATGGCATCTCTTTAAACTTATACACTGTATCACACAGGAATGTCAAATGTTAGGACCGGATCTCCAACATTGACAGTCCTGGACCATGCCAATTCGACAAGCAGACATTTTGAAGGCTCAGCTCAAATGGACTGGTGATGCAATATCAATTCTTCTTCGGAAAACTAGTGTAGGGTAGTCGTGCCCAAGGTCGCCCAAGGAAGGTGTGCAAAGGCCGTCCAGCTGATAGGTCTAGGTGCCGCAATTAATGCTCAAATGCAGCAATCAATCAAGCAAACTGTAGCATATACAGCGTCTCAAAGAGATCCAAGAAAAACACAGGAAGGTGTCGGCTTCTTCCTCAACAGTCGGTTTTCCTTGCCCCACCTACAACGGTATCTTCACATTCGCCTTCTACCTCAGAAGCTACATGCGTGTCCACAGCTGATGACTGCGCAACATATTTGAGAGACAACCGTAAAAAAAAATTAAAACATGACAGCATCAGAAAATTCCTCCATTGGCATCGATCAAGCTTCATACTCCTTTTCAATCGCATAATGCTAATGTTTTGTAGTTCAGCAATGCATTCTTCAAATACAACAACACGCATTTTTCTGAAGTCACGTGGTGGGGTATCTAGAGCATAAATATTTTGGTTAAAGTGATCCCAGATCTGTTCAATTGGGTTAAGATACAACATAGCAGACCACGGCAAGTATAAACATTATTTTGAGACGAGATCCCTGACATCATACTTATTATAAAACCCAGGTTGTGTGTGTGTGTGTGTGTGTGTGTGTGTGTGTGTGTGTGTGTGTGTGTGTACGTTTATATATTGGATCAGATTTCCTACATTTTTCAACCGATTTCAACAGAACTTCACAGGACTACGTAAAATTAACTTGTGGTGGTTCTGACAGTGCCAAAACTTGGAAAAACAATTGTTTTTGCACAAAATCAATTTGAAAACACGATTAAGAGGCATCGCTGTGAGATTAAAGGGGGACAACTCATATCGAGTTATACTTATTATAAAACCCAGGTTGTTTGTGTGTGTATGTGTTCGTTTATATATAGGATCGGATTTCCTACATTTTTCAGCCAATTTCAACAAAACTTCACTTTTTTTTGGCAGGTAGTGTTTCTTATTGTTTTGTACACTTTTTTCTTTATTTTTACATTCAGAATGCTTTAAAAATTCCATTTACAATAAAATTCTATTAAATCGGTAGACTCATAATGATTGAAAACAATGTTTTTGTTTGAGTTTGGGTTTGACCAATTCGTAAAAAAAAACTAAAAAAAAAACTAATTAAGATATGCGTGTCTGTCAACCTTAAACAATAATCTTTGTCAATTTTATTTTTGAATCTTTATGACGGTTGATACTTGATCTATCTCTTACTGTTACATCCCCAGGCAACGCCGGGCTCTACTGCTAGTCTCCACTAAAATAACGTTTATAATAATAAAAAAAATAATGCTGGACTAAATTTCATGAATTACTTAAATTACTGTGTACGAAATTATTGTCTTGGCTGCAAAGGCCACTGTAGCCAAAAGGTCAAAGCACGCCTGGAAAAAGGTGATTTTATGAAATAAAAGGAAATCCATGTTTGGTATCGTTTTATTTTATTTTATTTTCTTCCGAAATGAGCTTCGGATAATTCCTGGCAGAATTTCCTCTTTGTCTGAGAAGGATTATTCGAAATTTTGTAAAGTCGCTCATTAAAAGTAATTGATACAAAATATCTGATGTCTTTAATATATATGTCTTTAATATATATATATATATATATATATATATATATATATATATATATAGTTGATTTTTTAGTTATTAAATTTAAACCAAGATGCCTTGTAATTTAAATTTTAAATTACGCTTTTGTTGAGATATATATATATATATATATATATATATATATATATATATATATATATATATATATATATATGATTAAGATTGTAAAAGTTTGTCATTTAGTTGATTGATGTTAGTTTCAGCATCTCGATTCCAGAGTTTCGTAGGCGGAACTGTCCGTCCACACTTCAGAGGGTATCATAAATTTACTGCTTATATATTTTTTTTTTTTATATACTTATCATTTGTGTATTTTTCTCGTATTTTTTGTGTTCGTGTGTGCGTTTGTGTGCGTGCATCCATACGCCCGTCTGTGCGGATGTGTCTGGGCGCGCGTGCGCTCGTCTGCTCAGATGTGTGTAGGTGTAGGATGTTGTGACCATTTGTCCTTTTCTTGGTTTTGTTTTGTTTTTTCGTTTTTTTCTCGCCTTTTCTTTCGACAATTGCGATTTGTCGCGAGTTCCAATTTTCTAGACATGCCACATATTTTAATTTTTGGGCGTTCTAATTTTTTCCTTTCTTTTTTCTTTTTTTGTTATGGAAGTTGGATTCGTTTTTTTACATCAATTGATAATGCTTAAATTACACACACACGCACACACACACATATATATATAATTTAGGCAGTATATTTTCATTCAAACAGGTTTGGTTAAATAATTTAAACATAGTATGTTGGCGGATTAATTCCTTGGTAGCCTTAGAGAACTGATTAAGAAAAATACCAAAATTTTCTTTCAAATAGTTTTTATTTTTCCAAGTACTTTCAGTCTCGTCTGAGACCATCTTCAGGAAGTTCCATTCGGACAACTTCTTCCCAAGAACCGTAACCTTGTGGAAGAAATTCCCGATATGATACTTCCCTGATCGCAAAAACCTTAATCTTCTCAATTCTATGGTCAAACACTATCTATCCTGCACTTTTTACTTCCTCTTGCGTTCATACAGGATTCAGTAACCCTCTACCTTGAGTGGCTCTTGAATTATGTACTGAGTGAACAATTAATAAAATATATAATAAGTCCTTTCTTCTTTGTTTCATGCAGAATTTATCAAATTTTCGTGATGCACAAATAAACAGTTTTCAAGTCTGGAAAGAAAGGAATTTCAAAGCTCTGTAAATGTTTTATTTACATTTTCCCCTCGTTAGCTTCCTAATTGTATTCATAAGATTTTTTGATTCATCAAACGCCACTTTTGCGCTTATCTCTCTCCCTTGATCACTGAAGATTCTCCCCAAATATTATTTGAATGAAAACTCATAAAACAAAGTTATAAAGGCGCGTATGCTAGCACGAGAAAACAAACGAAACAAATACTGCCAGTGAGGCAAAAACAAGGAAGACAAAAATTATTCAGGTGAAATTCTTTGTATTGCCTATTCAGAGAATCAAAGCGTATTGTCTCTTTGTGGGCAAGGGAAGCATTCGGGTCGGTAGACTGACAGTTACTGGTGGTGACGCTGACAGCTTTCTAGTCGCCGCAATAGTGTCGTGAGCAGTGTTCTTAAAAGCAGATGTGATGGATCACGACTGTTCGTTTTTTGTTTTTTTTTATTACATGTTTAATATTTGTGTTTGGCTCATTTTATATTGTACTTTATATATTCTTTTTTATA